ATAAAAGAGCTTTAACTTCTTTATAGCTTTTTGTGACATTTTGTCGGTTCGGAAAACTATGATCATTTTATTCTGTGCTATGTTCAAGAGAAGTAAGGTTGCTAAATGATTGAGTTACAGATATTGGAATAAGTCCTGCTATCGGTAATGCTAAAATGGAATGCGTATATATTAATTGCTATTGTTACAACTTAATCATATGTGACTGTATAATAAACAACTCTAAAGAGACCCATAACCACACTTTGATAATATCTTGAACACTTATTCTAGGTTTGATATTTTGAGACAAGAGCCTGCTGTGTTTTTTTGTCATGAAGAAAATACTTTTGTATTTGCATTGTATAGATTACCTTCTAGTTATGTTGTTCAACTTGAAAAAAAAAATACCTGATAAATTTTTAAAATGCAAATTAAAACAAAGTACACGTTATTGCTGTGTACCAAATTACCACAAACAGTGGTTTAAAACAACTGTCATCTTTTAGCTCACAGTTTTGTAAGTCAGAAGTTTAGGGTGGCATGGCTACATTCTCTGCTCTGGATGTCAAAAGCTGAAATCAAAGTGTTGGCTAGGGTTGTGCTCTCATCCAGAGCTGGAGGTCATCTCCCTGAAAGATTGCTTCCTCGCTGGCTGTCAGGTAAGGAACACTCTCAGCTCCCAGAGGCCACCCATATCCCTTCTCATGTGGCCCCTTCCATTTTCATACCTGACCTGAGCAAGTCGAGTCCTGTTCATGCTTCATATCTTTCTGACTTCCCCATCCACAACTAGCCAGAGAAATCTCTCCATGTTCAAGGGTTTGTGAGATCAGGGCCAGCCAAGTTATCTCCCCATATTAAGGTGAACGGTGACACACAGCATAACAATCCAATGAAGTGATTTCTTATCACAATCCAGGAAATAGGTCATTAAATCTCAAGAAGGAGCATTTATAAAATTCTGCCTGCCACATGCATTAAGTGCAATTAACTTGTTCTATAACCAGGATAAGGTAGTAAATATGTGTTTATCAGAGTGGGCTCTAGAGCCAGCTTAATATTGCTGTTCAACTAGTTATTATCTGAGAGACACTGAGCAAGTTACTAAAGCTTTCTCTGATTCAGCTTCTTTTTCTATAAATTTGGCCTAATAATAATACCCGTGTCATAATATTTTAATAAAAATCAAATGTACTAATACATGTAGATCTATTAGAGCATAAGAAGTACTCAATAAATACTGTATACTAATTTGATTAGTATATTGGGACTAATGTCATATGGTCTCAAAAATGCCTGACATTTTATTTCACATTATTCAATATACCAAGAATGAGATGTATCTTTGAATTATATAACTCCATTAAGTTAGGAAGTTTTACAAATTTCTTTAGATTCTATTGAGTTACACTACACATTTTATAAAATAATATTGTTATTATACAAAGTTATAGCTCACAGAATAATAGTAAAATTCCCTACAAGAAATAATGCAAACTTCAAACTGCTTTACCATAGTAATCTAGAGTTTAAAATACAAAACAATAGGGATCTAACCAGTCCTAATATTGGTCCTCCATAGCCAGATGTTCTCATTATACCTGTTTTAATGAACCTAACCATTAATTAGTTGCTTATGTTTATGGTTTGGAGTCTCAGAGTAGGTGCTTTCCAGTTTATGAAAGTTGTCAGGACTCTATCGTGCCTGCAGTCACACATTCTAAAGTCATGCAGGCATTTGAGATAATTAGTGACAGTTTCATGCCCTTAAAGTAACTATATGTTAAAATAAGTTTTCCTTTTTAACATTTCAAAGTTATGACTTGTGACCACAATAGTTACTTATATTCTATTTTTAATTTACATAATGACAAATAGTACCTTTACGTCACATTTAACAGGGTAACATTTCTCAGTGAGAATGGCTTTGTCTTTCCTTTGACTCAGGCGACCACTAAGGAAATACATATACTCTGATGAACAAAGAAAACCAACCAAACCCATAATTAAATTAAAATAAATAGTAATAATAGAATTGTGATGTTTATCCAGATAGCTAATGAGGTATACTGGTGAGAGAATTTCTTTTTTTTTTTTTTTTTTTTTTTTTTTTTTTTTTTTTTTTTTTTTTTTTTTTTTGTAATGTTTATTTATTTATTTTGAAAGAGAAAGCACAAGCGGGGAAGGGGCAAAGAGAGAGAGAGAATCCCAAGTAGGTTCAGTGTTGTCAGTGAAGAGCCCAGCATGGGACTAATTCCCACAAACCCAGTGATCATGACCAGACCAAAACCAAGAGTCAGACGCTCAACCAACTGAGCCACCCAGGCACTCCTGATGAGAGAATTTCTTAAAGAACATTATTATTCATAGCTTTCCTTAGAAAAAGAGGAAGCATATGCTTAACTTTGTGATCCTTAAAAACTAAATAAAATATTTATATTACATTCTGACCGAATGAGAAAATAATCAGATTGGCTACTATAAGTAAGTTCTATAAATCAAGAAATATTTCTTTGTTTTGTTCTACTAAACTTTCTATAACTATGCAAAGTCAAACAGCGGAGTGAAAATAGGTGTTGTCTTCTGGGGCAGGTAGAATATGGTTCCCCAAAGATATCTATATCTGAATCCCCAGAATCCATGAATATGGTAGCTTACATAGAAAACTGTGGGAAAGTTTTAAGGTGGTGAAGAGAATTAAGTTTGCTAATTAGCTGACCCTAAGCAGTCTATTCTACATTAAATAGGAATGTTCTGCATTAATTCAGATTATAAAGGGGTGGGCCTAAAGGAATCACAAAAATCAATGTCAGAGAAATGCAGTGTTTCTGGCTTTGAAAATGGAAGAAGGGGTCATAAGGAATATGGATGGCCTGTGAAAGATGGGAAAGGCAAGACATTTACTTCTTCAAAGCCCCTGAAAGAAATGAAGCTCTGTCAACACCTTGATTTTAGCACAATAAGACCTATTTTGAACTTCTGACCTCCAGAGCTGTAAGGTGATAAATGTGTGGGTTTTTTTACGCCACTAAGTTTGACGTGATTTTTCATAGCAGCCATGGGAAATTAATACAGCTTCTAATTTGAAAAATGAAGACAGGATGTACTCAATTTCTGATGTAGCAATTTTAGGATAAAATACAGAGGTCACCTTTGAAAACTCAGTTCAAGGAAAAACACTGTAAAAGCAAAAAATCCTGCCATGTGTTGAGATTTAAGATACATCTAGCTTGTTTGGATGAGACTTTGAAACTGAAATCAATCTTCACTTTTCCCTTTGAATAACAACACCTTTGGTTGCTCAGAAGCCATGAATTTCACGCATTCCCAATTATTTTCTCTTAGAAGGATGACTAGACCTTAATTTCTCTGCACAGGTTTTGACCAAGGTTTTGGACAGTATGGAAAGTACAGTTGTACAAATACTTCCTTGTCTAGCTGTATCTGCAAAATATGAGTCTCATGAAATTGGGTTCATTGGGATCAGGTTACACTATTACACCAATATTTGTCAAGAGTTAGTCATAAGAGAGAGGTACTTCCATATAACTTAATTTTAGTGAAGCATTCGTGAATGCCAATGCCATCAAGCTTTGAGAATTCAGATGACCTTGAAATTATTCAGTGGTTTAGTTCACCTTGGATTTTTGTTTTGTACATGGATGAATAAATCATCAAATATAAAATATAATAAATATACTTAAGCATATCTTATGTTACTAATCAGTATAAGTGACTTTTCTGAACATTACAATGTATGTTTATTCTAAAAATAATAGTACTAATCTTATAATGCCTCATATTTAGTTATATGGAAATTAGCTCATATTTTTATTAACTTAAAAAACATTAAATGCATCTAACCTAGTATCTATATTATTATTGCTTTGTTACCTTTGGATAACATTTGAGCATTTACTCAATTTTACTCATTTTATTTCAATTAGCAAAATTTCCCCTACCACGTTGTTCATATTTGTTTAGTTCCTTGCTGGTTACTTTCTAAATAGCAAGTGAATACCCTGAGGAATACTTTCCCTAGTTTGCAAGCTTTTATTATGTTACAAGTAAAATAGATCTTTAGTGAGTATGTGAAAAGTACACAAGAATGTTGACTCCCTTTGTAGGGATATTTAATCATTGAAGATAAAGCACTGGTGAATGTGAATCTGAACACTAAGATCAAACACTGAAAAGCAAGAGTAGTGTTTTGTTAGCTATGTTTTATCATATAAACATTTGTGAACTTGTTCAAGGCAGACATTTTTAATGTGAAATGTGTAACCAAATCTATAAAAACATATCTCATCAGCAATTTAACTTATTTCTGCTTTCAATTTCTATATGGCAAGTTAGATTTATTCCATTTCTCAGATTTATGTATAAAAAGCTTTTAGGAAAGATAAGCTATTTTATTTAGAGATTGTAACATGATTGATAAGGATAGAAAATCAGTTTAGTCTCTACATTCTATTAAGCTATTCCCCAGATACATTTTTTAAAAGAATATCTTAAAAGGCATAGCTGACATTTGTTTACATAACCTCAAATTGACTTTTAAAATGCTCTGTTATTTTAAGGCATAAAACAAATTTAAAGAGAAACATGGTAAATAATTTATTAAATTCAATTCACTTTCAGAAACTGTACAGAGATTATACAGAAATTATACTAGGATTATGTTACTTTTTTATGGCAAACAGTGACATAAAAAAGTTGTAAAATCTGGCAGAACTGTGCCATGACCAACAATAATTCTATTGAACCGATAGTTTAGCATGAGACCATTATAACATTCAAACAAGTTATAAATTTGTGTCTACTTTGATAATTAGTTTCTGCCAAGGAGAAGAAATAATGTAGTTAAAATACTACTCCCTTTGGTTTTCTGCCACATTGTCTTTAAGAAAAATAAGTGTGACAAGAGTATTTTCACATCTGAATTTGTACACTGTCTTGGGCAGGTTGTGTGTTAGATTAGTAGTAAATGGTGATTGTTCGATTTTATGTTTTATCAGGAGCTACAACCATAGAGAAATACGACCTCAGAACAAATTTGTGGATCCAGGCAGGAATGATGAATGGCAGGAGACTGCAGTTTGGTGTGGCTGTTATTGATGACAAACTCTTTGTAATTGGAGGTCGAGATGGCTTAAAGACATTGAACACTGTTGAATGTTACAATCCCAAAACCAAGACTTGGACTGTCTTACCACCAATGTCAACACATAGACATGGTCTAGGTAAGATCTCTTACTTTACTGATATTCTTTTTAGAAACATTTATTGATAGTTAAAATGCATGTTAAAAATAATATTACTGTCACTAATTATCATTAACTTTAGATAAATTATGAGTTTATTTGGAGCATTTTTTCTAAGTTCTTGACATTTTCTTGTGTTGACTAATGTGCATTAAACTGTTGAGAAGGATGTCAAAGATACCAAAATGAGTAGACCTCATGCAATCTTCAAAGTTTTCACAATCTGACATTCATACAACATGTAAAGTTCAATATGAAAAAAAAAAAAAATAGAACTATCATGGAGAGGCCAGAGTAATGTTGCCCAGAGGAAAAAATAGTTAATGTGCATTGAGGAAAACTTAATTAAGGTGGCTCACTCCACTCCCATAACTAGCCTACCCATACCTTTGCATGTAATTAATTCCACCTTGAAAAATCTGTGGGGAAAGAGCAATACAGTTTAGAGAAAGAATAACGTATCAATTGGCACCAGGGATCATTAACACAGGATTCAACCGATTTCTCCTGTGGAAGAACCTGGAGATGCAGAGAACTATATTGGGATTCAGATGATCTGGGTGTGAGTCTTGAATCTACCATATTGACATGATTTGAAGACAGCACTTAAACCATAAGACTTCAATTTCAAGACTTGCCACCAATTCAAAGTTATTAAGTAGATAAAAATATAATTATAATGTTATGAAATCACTGTGTGAATTGTAAAGTCCTATACAAATATTTGAAAAGAGGAATGAAATAAAGGTGAACAGTTCCTGAATTTGTACTTGTACCATGGGGATTATAAAGAGAAGTACAAATGACATTTTTTGACCTGAAATATGACCTGAAATATGGCAAGTAATCAATTAAGTGTCTTTCATGTATTTAGAATATACATATTAGAGAGCTATCCAGGTTTAATTGCAAATTCGTTGATTTAGACATTCATAGGCAAGCAAAATCATAGAACATTTCTAAAATACATATTAATGCAAGTTCAATTTTGATATCTCTAGCACTGCACTTCCCATTCTTGTTTACTCCACCATCAATTTAAGCAAACATTAAATAAATAAATAAATAAATAAATAAATAAATAAATAAAATAGGTCTGGGCTATTTGATCTTTTAGCTTACCTCCCTTTTTTCACATTAGGTATTAGTAAATTAAGGAATAGTAATAAATATATGAAAACCTTTTCAAGTTCTAAAATTTTTTGCTTTAAATAATAACTATATAATTTATTTAAATCACATGGAACCAAATTATAATATGAAAATATTAACAGCAAATTATTCTTCCCAGGTAACATTCATGAGTATTAAAGGTTTCTTACATGATTGTTTTCCAAATATAATGGAGGATTTTTGCTTTTATATCCATGTAAAAGCTATATGTGCTGTTTTAATTATCTAGCTATCTAATGACCTATGTTTCTGTTTGAGTGAAATGTAGAGAATAAGCACTCTGGTTTAGAATGTTTAGAATTTAATGTCTCCTTCTTCCTTTTTGTTTTCGACAATTCAGTAATTTTCTGTTAAGGTGTACTAAGGTTCAATTATGTAGGTTATTTGCATGCTAAGAGAACATACTTGAAAAAATTTCACTGAGAATACATCTTATGCTATATAATTTCAAGTGTTTAAAGTGTACAAGGTGATGGTGTGCCTCCAAATTCTGTCACACAGCGTCCTCTCCTCTAGGTGTCAGGACTGGACAAAACGGTAACCTGGGGTATGGTCTTTCAGTTTTTCTTATTTGCTAAAGGGTTCATTGTAAAGGTTCATGTGGAAGTAAGGCTGCACAGCAAATGACATGAGCTAATAAGTATTTCAGGTATCTGAAATGTAGTGCAGCATTTCTCACAAGTTTTGGGGACCCAATACTAACTGTAGTAGTCCACTATTTTCATTCCTCGCCCTCCCTTGCTTTGTGTTTTTCATTCTGTTTCACTTCTATTATCAAGTGGCTCACCTCTCCTCCATATCTTATGCCATTGGCTTCCTCTGTTTTACTTCCTAGGGGCTATTGCTTCCTGTCAGTTTTTGTTTTTTTTTTTAATTCTCTCCTACAATACTCCCCAAGATCCATCCTTGTTGAATTAGTAGATAGAGCATCATTTCTGGACACGATTCTCATCCCAGAGTGCCTCATAGATTGCTAGCAATGCCCAGTACATAGAAAGCTGCCTTCAACTTGGATGTCAATCCAAGCTCTAATCAGCTGAAGCCAGATTGATAGCAATGCAAGATACATGTGTGTTTCCTGATGAAGTTGAGTGTTTCTTTTATGATCAATCACATTCCTTGTGATCAGTTGAATCTCAGAAGTCCATCATTCTATGTCACACTCAAATGCAATAAGCCTCCTTGGCCCAAGATTTCTGTCCCTTCGATACACACATCAATCTTTGATTTACCTTCTCCTGGGGACTCCTATTACATTGATGTTGATATTTCTTATTTAATTCACCATATCTTTTTAGTTTAATTTTGTATGTTTTCTTTTATCCCTTCCTATTGGCTAATTTTAATATCTAGCCCTCCAAATTGTCCTTAATCTTTATGCATCATGATATTTCTCCCATATATTGATGTCTTGATCTTAATTAATTTTTTTCACAAACTCGTTATTCCTGCTTGGTAATTCACTATAATTGCTTTCTTCTTCCGTGGTACTAATATTCCTCCTTGTCTCTGTGAGGCTATTTATTATACCTATTTCAAATTCCTATCTGCCTCTTTACTTCTTTTTTGTTTATGATATGTGATCATCTTCCTTCTCTTCCTCAGATTCCTCTTTCAGCTCTCCTCTTACTCTTCTCTTTTTCCTGTTAGTCATCCTTTTTCTCCTCCTCCTGTTGCTGTTCTTTTTCTCCCTCCACTTCGGCTTCTGCTTCCCCTTCTTCCCCATATCTATTTTTTCTTCCTCCTTTTTTTTCTTCTCCTCTTCTAATTTTATTTTAACAGTAGTTGTAACCATGGAAATGTGTAATTTTTAACTGTATTTTTAACTGTAATTTTTAAGTCATATGAATATATCAGACACTTTGGCTAATTGAATGGAAGTTAAGGCATATGCCATTCTTTGTGCCCTCTCAAAACATTCAGGACTGGATGGGAGGGTTATGCCAGGGTGTGGAGCCCTGACCTTGCCAGCTGGTTTTGTGCAACCTATCAGCTGTTATTCCTGACATGTAACCCTCAGGGACACATCTGTTTACTTTCACTTGCAAATAAATGTCCTTATGCCTTTCTTCTTTATCTGTGATGCCCTAACTATAGGACTGGAAGCTTGGATAGGAAGGGAATGTTCTGAACCAGTAAGTCTATTTGCTTCTGCTGTTAACAGTTCTTCCTTTAAGCTGGGCTCTGACGACATTCTGATGTCATCCAGACAATTATGGCAGGCTCTTGATGGGTTCTGCTCTCTTGCTGCCAGGCAATGTAGAGGGTTCACTGGTTGTTCTTTTGACCACATCAAAAAAGCACAGATCAGATTTTCCTCTGAGATATTCCCCCATTGCAGTGCCATGAATTTTTGTCTCAGTAAGTTACAACTAACTTTTGTTTTTCTAATTATTTTTTACAGTGTCAATGTTTGTTTTTCAAAAACGCACCATGACCTTCCCTTTATGTAATCCCTGGTATTTGGTTTGAATGTAAATCAACAGCCTTCTGTGCTAGTTTTTTATTCGTTCAGGAATTAGAATGTCCCATTTTATTTGCCATATAATCAGTACTTATTCTGCGATATCCAGTGAAATTACAAAATTGACTATGTAATCCCATGTTATGTATTCAAATGACTAGAGGTAACAGGCTAAAGTAAAACTTAAAAATATGTAAAATATATAAAAATATAATATATATGTGTATATATATATGTGTGTGTGTGTGTATATATATATATATATATATATATATATATATTATGTATAAAATTCAAGACATTTTTGACCTGTATGGCTTTTTTTTCCTCACTTGATTTGTATAGGAAAAACAAAACCTTGAATTATTTTTTGAGAAAGTCACATGAGTTCCTTGGTTGCTAAAGATGATTATGTGGCCAAAAATGTTTCATAGCTATCAATAAATGAAGAAAGCTCCTTCTGCTGCATAAAATAGCATAGAAAACTTATATGCATATTAAGTCTGTGATGTCAAGGGAGCAATGCATCTGCCTAGAGAATTAAACTAATTAAGACCACAGTTCTTTCAATATGCTAAGAGTTTTTATTTTGGCATTTATGTCTTTGAAGCACATAATCCACATATCATGACTTTTTTGCACCACATTTTATATTATATAAAACTGAATAAGACATTACTACAATACAGTGCTTGCAATTATGTCTTTTCAGGAGAAATTGATAAAGAGTAAGATAGCTGTGGATTATTGTGGGTTTTCTACATGCTAGGAACCGATGTTGTATATTAAACATATGGTAGGAGTTGTTTTTATTTTTATTTTGTTTAGTTTTCAATTCAGGTAAAATCCACACACCGTAAATTCAAGTTTTAAAGTGTAGAATTGAGTGCTTTTGAGTATACTTACAGTTGTGCAGCCATCACCACTATTAAATCCCAAAATATTTTTATTATGTTTTTAAAAAATATTTTTATATTTATTTATTTTTTTTTTTTCAGAGAGAAAGAGACAGAGTGTGAGCAGGGGAGGGGAAGAGAGAGAGGGACACACAGAATCTGTAGCAGACTCCCTGCTCTCAGCACAGAGCCCAACGCAGGGCTTGAACCCACGAACTGTGAGATAATGACCTGAGCCGAAGTGGGACGCTTAACCGACTGAGCCCCCCAGGCACCCCCACAAAATATTTTTATTATCTTAAAAAGGAACTGTACTTGTGGCGCCTGGGGGGCTCAGTCAGTTGAGCATCCAGCTTCAGCTCAGGCCATGATCTTGCGGTTTTTGAGTTGGAGTCCCTCATCAGTCTCACTGCTGACAGTGTGGAGCCTGCTTTGGATGCTTTGTC